CATTCTTATCTAGCTCCATGTTTGACACCATTCATCACTTAAAATTCTTATCTTCAATTCTCGAGGTTTGATTATATACTGTCCTTAGAGTTTCAATTGGCAAACTGCACTTCGTAGTTACTAAAGGGTTAAGACAGTTTATCTATCCGTAGGATACAACAAGAGAAAAGGAAACGTATTAGCTAATGACAAGTTCCTTCTCACAAGAAGAGATCAAATAATGAAAGTCAGTTTAATTCCTTAGAGACTTGTGAATTTTATAGCAAAAAATTGTTTTCTACTTATATTTAACGTCCAGAACCAATGTCCCCCCAAAATACAACGATTGGCATCAAAACAACTGCCGTGTGAAGTAAAAGGTGTCAAATAAAGGTCTGAACATTGCCTAGAGTCTGGCCCCGAATTGTGGACTGAATTCAAGGCCAGATTCTCGACGGAATCCACACAAGGACCCAATCATGATTGCATGGCCGGATTCGGGATCCGCGCACGGATGCACCTGGACCCGTCTGCGGGTTTTTTGCCCAGAAATTCAACGAACCTTTTTGTTCTATTTCATTTAACAAACTAATCTCCACCAATCTATCTCACTCTCACCAGACTAGGAAGCAAATACGTATGACATATTCTACTCGATCCCATGCCTAAATTAGTCTCCACATTGTATAAGAAAAAGACATAAACATTGAAAGGCTTCAAATAAGTGTTGACGTTATTGACCATGGGAATGTCACATGCTGCGTATGTAACCTTTACAGATAAAGCTAAAAGTATTTACAATAACAAGGACACCATATTCTTTTAGCGTGGATTCACGAAGGATCATAAAACCACTAATCACTTAAAGATTCAATAGGTTAAGTTTCTGTCTATTTTTTCATAATTTTCCTTTAAATTTGATTGATCCGGATGAAGTGAAAAAAGAACGGATAAATATGATATAACATCTCTGTTCATCACGTATATGTATGTATATATACATTTACACACACATGTATATCTATACGTGTATATATGAACACACATTCACCACACTGGCACAGATACAATCAAAGTTAATCCTCATTGAAACCTTGGGATCAAGGGCACAAACAGTTGTCAGTAATTACATTAGGATTCGATTAATCTCCTAATCTTGTTTGTACTTCTCCATTTTTTCTAAGCTTAAGGCTGGTATAGAATTTTCTAAGAAGCAGCAAAAAGTTGAATGTGCAGAATTAAATAGCCGAAATAATAATTTTGACAACTATAAAATATTTGCAACCTTTTCTTCCAAAGACTACAAAAAAAACTAAACCAAATTGCCACTTAGACTCGAGCACGGATTGACTGAATTCATGTTTTATAATTTCAACAAGCAATTTTCCATTTTTATTTCATACGTTGTTGCCAAATTTTACAGCTTTTATTACCACTTTTTGTTTTTACTTACAAATTTATAAGGATGTTTAAAATTGGCCATTGACTCACGCTTTTAACCCAAATGAAAAATGACCTCATGCTATATTAATTCTTTTAGGACCATGAGTGTGATTTAATCCTTTAATATCTAGTATCTATTATTTTGCAGTTTCCACATGTTCATTCTAAAAGCCGGCCTTCTTATATTAAAAAGAGGTGTGAACTCACTTGGATTAAAGTACAAGTCTTTAATAGGTAAACTCCGCTGTTGAGATTCTTACTCCTTCAACTACAGAGGTAAAATGGCATCACCATGCTTGGTTCAGAAAATATTTGGTTTATTTGGTTGGGGAGTAGTGACTACTGATAAAAGACGTGCGTGGTATTGAACTGGAAGTGAGTCTTGCAGCCACTTATTCTTTAATTGTGAGTATTCGGCATTTATTTGATCCCGTATCCAACAATTAATGTTGTTTGCAGTATAGAGAAGTCTATGATTGGAGGACTGATATTGATCGGTAGAGTCATCATTTAAAGGCTGATTGTTTTGCTAATACAAAATAGAGATTGGCTTTAGGGGCAGCTGTGTATGGCATTTGGCGAGAAGGGAATTGCAGAATCTTTCAGCATCAAGCTGTTGAGGCAGAAGTGATTGTCAAGAGAGTGATCAAGAAGGTTTGGAGTTATGTAGTCAGTTGGCGAAATGTTCCAAATACGAAAGAAAACTGGTTACTGAGTTTGAGTTGGAACTTTCCTCAATGTATTTGTCGCGCCCCATTTTTTCCAAAAATAAAGTTTTACGAGTTATAAAAATGAATTTTTGATTAATTTTGAGTGAAAATGAATTTTTGATTTTTAGTGAATAAAGAAAAAGAAAAGGGCCTAAAATGAGACTTAAAAATGCGACGATTTGATCCCAAAATAATAATTTAAAAAGAATTTTTAATAAAAAATAGGAGCCACCACTTGGTATTGAATTAAGATGTACCAAGTGTATTTTTACGAGAGATGGGAATTTTAGAAGTAACTTGATGTAATGTGCGTCAGGTACTTGCAAGCAGTTTTCTATCCAATAAAGATCAATTTTACGTTAAAAAAGAGGTCTTTAATGGGACCGAGGATCTAGCATTTGCCTATATGACTAACAAGTAACAACGCCAGGCGTTTTTTTCATTGAAATTTTGCAATTTGAAAGAAGTACATTTCATTGGGTTACTTGATAAAAATTTAAAAAAAAAAGGTTAACTATATCTTTTCTATATGGTTCTTAAAATACCCAATAACTTAATCTCCTCCTCCTCCTCCTTATTCTTTCAAACACCAAAATCATAGTTTTTTTTTTCTTTTTTAACTTCCCTACCCTTCTATTACCTCCTTAACTCAAACTTAGTAGCCATGATCGAACCCTGATTTGGTCGGTGGGAGTACTCCCTGACCACTAGCAATGACCACTTGTCCCATGGCTCGTGGTCACCAAAACCATAGCTTCAAAATTCCAAAATAGCAAGACTACTGCCCGCGGCGAACATCCGGCAAGTGACTGCCAAGCACATTTTCGCTTGTTAGCCTTCAACAATGTCTATGGATAAGATTTTATTCACGTAAAACATGTTTTTAACCTCAAAACTTACGAAAAATTTGTCACAAAGTCATAAATTTAGACCACTAACTGGCGGGTTGACAATTATCGCAACAAAATAATAGAATATCCATTGAAAAGCACTTAATCAGACATCAAACAGAAACGTACTTAACAACGGTCAAGACAGATTCCAATATCATACTCAACCACAAAAAAGAAGGGGGAAAAAAACCAATAGAGTCGGTTCACATAGTTCAAGATTCAAATCAATGAGTAGCATTTGCGTCCTTTTGAAGCTCCCAAAACAGCAGCAAATTTTGTTTAATTTGTATGCATACAAGAATAGAGAAACGTCAAGTGTATCCATTTGTTCATGTGTCTTTTGTGTTCGAAGGCAGAGACATGGCACACATTATTGTGATCTAGAAGAAGGCAAGCAATGGGAGAGTGAAGGGATTGATATGGCAATTCAGAAGCAGCTTTGGGAGCTGAGGCCGATGAGTGACGTGTAGGAAGAGGGAATTGATCTCTTCTGGACCTTTTGGTAGCCGGCAACGTTTTCTTCTGCTCAATTTCCTTTTTTTTTCCCCCCTTGTTGGAATTTTGTTTACGTGTTGAGTTTCATTTTGCACCTTTCAATTATAGCCGAACACGGGATTCCATGAATCTTATCATATCATATTCAACTGATCTAGAAAATTTGGCAAAATTAGGATGGTAGTTTGAATACTTTGGATACAACAACTTCCTTGAATTTTAAATACAATAGTTTTTTTTTTTTTTTGAATGTTCTAATATATCTTATTAACTTTGGATACAATAGTTTGTTTGAATGAATATTCATTACATGAATGAATATGAAAGAGAAACACATCTGTACTAATGCACAAGCTGAAATGCTTGTTAAAATTGAGCTTAAATCCAGCCAAAGCTGAATCTGTTAATCTTTGACTTGATGTCTGACATCACCACGACTGCACACAATTTTTGAGCTGTTCATGCATCGAGTTGCAGATGTAAAATATTTCTAAGATTTATCATATACCAATTAAACAAAGTTAATTCTAGCCGACATGATGTTTATGATGACAATGATGCACAGCTTTAAAAACTACTCGAATTAACTCTAGAATATTAACCAGAAACTTAATTATGATTATCTGCAATTTTCAACCTTTGTTCATGAAACATCATCCGCTGCTTAAACTGCAATTGTCGTCAACCTCAGCGTGATTTTCTCAATTATATTTTCTCCATCTGTCCAACATCAAAAGATATAGATGCACGCATGTATGTATTAAATTTGCTAGTCGGCTGAAAACTAATGCACAGAAGGCAGTATATAGTATTGATCTTTCTTTTTCTTGGCACACGATCTAAGGATAGAGAAAGCGATGTATTTTATCGATTTGTAAATTTATGTCTATGAATAAGTAAATTCAACTTCAACATCACAGAGTCAAGAGTTATTTTTTCTTTAGTAATCAATTAATGATTTTTCAAAGCTCTTCCAAGATATAGCTTTAAAAATATTTTTTTGATTACGAATTCCCCTTGTTTTATTAACTTGGTGATTTCACAGGTACATTCACCTAACAGTAAGAAGTAATGAAGTGCTGGACCTTCTTAATAATTGAAAACCATAATTAACACATATGTACTAAGTGTGTAGGGATGTTGCCGAGACCGTTCTTTTTTTTCTGATGTGGCAAAATGTTATTGGACAATTTGTGGTCGTCCTTGCATGTGTTTGTGCAAAAAAAAAAAAAAAATTCCAAAATGCTGAGACCGTTGTCTTTGTAAATGAACGGTACATTTATTGTCTTCATTTTGGTTGTATACGATTGGACCACTTTACCATTTCTGTTCCGCCTTTTCCCATATGTATTGGGAAGTGATTGTCATCATTGCAATAACTCAGTTTAGTTGACTATCAGGACAAATGTATTCCAGTTTTGCCCTCCCATTATATTTTTCTTACCAGCCACAACGAATTGGTTTGCACTTGTCAGGAGGTCAATTTTTATTTACACTTGGGTTGCATTTGTAAAAAACCATCATTCCTTCACTGTCGACGGCTATTGAAAGGAGGACTGTGGCAATTTCTTTTGTTCTGCCAAACCCACAGCAATTTCTTTGTTCTGCCCAAGCCACCGCTGCCGGTAAAGCTATGGATTGTTGCTGGGATTTTCTGCTTATGCTAATGGTTAGTGATATGTTAAGTTTTTGCAGTCCTTTTTTGTATCATTCCTTTTTTGTTTTCTTCGGTTCTTACTTTCTCTTTTATTGCTATGTTCCTCCGAAGCTTCTTCTTCATTTTGCTCTCCTTCATAAAGATTGGTCAGGTGAGCTTTTCCTTTTACTGAACTATTCCTTCTATAATGCTGTTTATTCCGATATGTTTTTTGCTTGGTCATTCGTAGACTAACTCAGTCGTATTTACTTTGTTTATGGGTGTTTTGTATTTTGTCGTTGTGTTAAGGTAAGCTTATTTTTAATTTTCTGTGTTCTTTGATTATTATTATTGGACAATTGGTGGTCGTCCTTGTCTGTGAGAATTGAACAATATTCGTCGGGTGCGCTTTTTCTTTTAGTGAGCTATTTCGTCTATACTCCTGTTTATTCCAATATGTTTTTTGGTCCGTCATTCATCGACTAATTCAGGTTTACTTTCTCTGTTTATGGGTGTTTTCTATTTTGCCGTTGCATTAAGGTAAGGCTATTTCAAATTTTCTATCTTCTTTCATTCTTTGTTCTACCTTTCATTTGTCCATTGTTTGTTCTTATTTGTGTTCTGTCTTTTTCTCCTCTTTTCCCTTTATATTTTGCATGCAGCTTTCTTCATATGTGGTTGCTGTAACGAGCTTTCTTTCTTCGTCATCTTGTGTTATATATTTGGAGCTTGTATTGATTCAGGTTAGCTGATCATTCTCTCTCTTTTTTTTTTGGCTTTTTGTTCTACCAGTTTTTTGTTTCTTGTATTGATAAACTGCTACAAGAACATAGAATCTCCTGTTAAAAATAAGAACTTTAATTATGAGACTTGAAACCCTTCAAGACTTCAATTTGATTAACGTTTATTGATTATCATATCTAAAATCGTACTTGATCTTCACATAGGAAGATGTTACCCTTTTTTGAACAATATATTTTACATTGAAATATGAAGGCATGCATTTCAAAACCAAAAAATTTGAACAATATATTTTACCGTTATCCACCATTTCATATACAATTTATAAAATCATCACTTTCTACTTTTTGCATCAAACTTTAGATATAAACGAAATCAACATCAACAACTAACAAACCATTTCTACTACTTTTCCATTTATAACTTTTAATGCTTGGACCATTCTAACATTTTTTACTTTCAATTTTCATTGTACGATTTCAACCTATTTCACTTCCACACCAAACTCTCATCTTAATCATTCCATACTTATCTTAATGTAAACTTAACAGCCTATATAGTTTACATGCTTCTTCTTACTCTAACATCACACCAACTCTAAATAATCAATACAAGTTAGGGCATAATAACATTGATCCCCCGCGCGTAGCGCGGAATCAGCCTCCTAGTGAGTTATAAAATTGTATTGGCATGTCAACCAAGTTTAATCAACCATGATTAGGTTAGATTTACACAAATATATATATATATAAAAGGCTCTCATTATCTACCTCTTGTAAGCCATTTGCATGAAGTTCTACTCCTAGTGAACTATGCAAGCCTTGTAGTAAAGCATCGTAAAATTTTTTTTTTAGCAATGTATCATATAAATATTTATTTGTCTTAAAGCATAAATTGGTTGCATTCTAGTCCCTTTATTCTCCCAAATGTTCTCCTTTTTGTCGATCCATCTAATAAAAGAACTTATAAGTGATAAATCTTCAATAACAATTTAATAAGAAAAGCGCAAAATGTAGAAAGTAAAATTCATGGTTTAATTTTGCATTAACAAAAGTTTGATAGTTAGAAGACTCAAGGACTTCTAAATATCAATCTCGTCACCAACCTTGATTAATTCAAGTTCACATCAGCTTGGGCATTTAAAAAAAAAAAAAAAAAAAAATCGGTCGTGGCTTAGGCTTCGCAAAAATTTGTTCAAGATGATGCATTTGATTTTGTAGAGATGCCTAAAAGAGATGAATTGATGATAGTGCTTACAGTTTCACATCATGCTCGAATATGTCAACGGAACTTTGTACAACAGCACTTCCAGTACATCATAAGTTTGCATTTGAATAACAATTTTTCTGTGCTGCAGACCCGAGTTTAGTTGATTGCTATTAATATTAATCAAGTAATCATCAGGTGAGGTTTATTGTTAGACTCTTGAATCCCATGCCTAAGATAAAAAAAAATATGAGGAGGGGAGAGAAAAAAAAGAAAATGACTCTCAAATCCCAACTTGGTTTTTGGATGAAGTTCATTATTGGACTCTCAAATCCCAACTTGGTCTTTGGAGCAAGTGCACAAGTCGTACATGAGTATAGGAATATTCGAGTGTTAATCCCACAGAGAAAGATGATTATCTACCGATGCTATTCAAATTCTTTTATTAGTTAGACCAATATAAATAACAAGAAAGTAAAACTACAGTAGGAGCATAAATGAATAAAAAATACAAACACAAGAAAAATTCCTAGGTTCAGTTTTCTCTCTTAGATTAATGATCCGATTATTGAAATTTGTCACCTTGACTAAGCATGGCATGATTTTCCAATGTATGTGAAACCTACTCTTACAATGAATCAATTATACCCATAACTAATTCATGTCTACTTTCATGGTTATAAAATTAGTTATAAACTCATTAGTTCCTATGAAATGACATGAATAAAAAGTCACAAAAATGCTCCTCCACTCTCATAGGTGAACTCTCTAGGTGTAGCAATTCTTTGACTTAGTATCAAATCTCAACTCTCATTGATGATCTAATACCTTTAAATACTCACAACTAATGGCTAGTTAATCATAATTTTACAAATAAAAGTGCTAAATATTTGCTCAAATGATAAACACAAGAACCAAGTTCATTTCATCCAACAAAGAAGAGATTAAACTTACTTATGCATGAAACTTTAGAATAACATGGTAAAAATTAAAGAAAAGGCCAAACTTATATTACAACTAAACCATGAAATCAAATACAGGAGAGAAAGTAGTAGGAAAAAAGTCACACTTTCACATGAGGTCCCAAGCTCTCCATCTCTACTCCTAAAATCTTCTTCAAAGTCTTGCTACAGGTAGAAGAATGGATAAAAACTACACAAACCTATTCTACTGCTAAATTAACTACTAGGATCTTGTAGTTTTAGAGCTACATTTTTAGTGATTCTCTTCTTCCCTCCAAGCTCGCAAAACTAAACTCCCCAATGAAGAGAACAAGCCCCTATTTATAGAGAATTCTCTACAAGCTTCTCTTATCTCTTTCTTTGCTTGATAATGTCCTTGGGAAAGTTTGATAAAGAATCACCAAATGATCCACAAAACTTGCTAAGAATAGAATCAAATGATGATAATTTCTTGAAAGATGTTGCCTTGAGCTTTGTGTCTTGCTATCAAGTTGTTGTTTCATCCCTAAGTTCAAGTAAAGAATGACGGCTCAAAGTGGACAAATTAGAGGATATGACTACTACTTTCACTATGGAAGTCCATATAATGGACACAGACACTAATTTGGACTAGTGGTTCATTGGTATTTATGTTAGCACTGATGATCAAATCAGGAACAACCAATGGAAAATTGTGGAAATAAGAAAGGAATTATGGGGCCTTAGGTGGATAATTGCAGGAGACTTCAATGACATCACTTCGAATGAGGAGAAATGGGAGGGAAGAAGAAACATTCAGGGATTTTAGGAATTTCATTAACCAAAACAAGCTGATTGACTTAGGCTTTGAAGGCTAACCATGGACAAGGAGCAACCATTGGGCTCAAGAAGGGGAAATCAAACAAAGGCTAGATAGAACTTTGGGGAGCAGTGAATGGAGCCAAATGTTTGACAGAACAATAGTTAAACACATAGAAAACTTTGGCTTAGACCATAGCATGATTTTCCTGGACTCTAACCCCTAAAAGGAGAAAAAGAAGAAAAGATTTGTGTTTGATAGAAGATGGCTGAAAAAAGAAGGATTGGAACAAGTAATCAAATAGGCTTAGGAAGAGGAGCAAACTGGTTCGAGCATGTATAAACTGCACAAGAAAGTTGCAACTTGCAGAGTTGCCATCCTCAAATGGAGAAATAACTTCCAAGGAAATGCAAGGCATAGAATTGAAAGTATCAAAAAGCTCTTGGAAGAACTTAAAACTAGTGAGTGTCAAGACAAAAAGGGTAAAAACAAGGATCATAAAATGCAATTGAAGGAGGCTTAATTATGATGAAGAGGAACTCTTTTGGAGCAGAAATCTAGAGTCCAACGGCTTAAGGAGGGTGATAGGAATACTCATTTTTTTCCACTCTAGTGTAAAGGGCAAAAGAAAAAGGAATAAGATCCAAAAGCTTCAAAAAGAGGACAGGTCTTGGACTAAAATAGAAGAGGAAATTGGACAGGAAGTAGAGAATCAGTTTGAAGACCTTTTCTGCAGTAAGAGAGTGGACCAGGAAAATTTGTTTCTAGAAGGAATCTCACCGACCATCATAGACCAAATGAACACAGAACTCATTGAACCTGTTGAGGAAAAAGAAATCAAAGAAGCCTTGTTCTCTTTGAACCCAAATAAATCTCCTGGCCTTGATGGCATGACACCAATTTTCTTTTAGAAATTTTGGCCTATTCTCAAAGCAGATATTATACAAGCCATTAAGAGCTTCTTCCAATTTGGTCACATGTTGAAAGTAGTAAACCATACCATTATATCTCTCATACCTAAGGTTGAGACCCCACTGAGGTTAAGCAATTCAGACCCATAAGTCATTGTAATGTCTTTTACGAGATCATTTCCAAAATTCTAGCAAATAGATTGAAAAAGGTTTTGGAAAATTGCATCTGCCAAAACCAGGCAGCTTTTGTGCGTGGAAGACAAATTTTGGACAATGTTATAATTTTTCACGAGTACTTGCACTATCCCAAAAACAAAAGGCAGGGATCTCAAGGTTTTATGGCTTTAAAATTAGATATGCCAAAAGCTTATGACAGGGTGGAATGGAGCTAACTCAAAGCAATCATGGCAAAAATGCAGTTCTGTGACAGATGGATAAGCTGGATAATGGAATGCATCACAACAGCTACCTTTTTTTGTCAATATAAATGGGGAACCTAAAGGATATCTGATACCATCAAGGGGCATTAGGCAAGGTGATCCCCTATCACCTTACCGGTTCCTTCTAGTATCAGAAGGCTTTTCCAACCTATTGGCTCAAGCAGAGAGGAACCACCGATTAAATGGAATGAAGATCAGTAGAAATGGTTCATCTTTAACCCACCTTTTCTTTGCAGATGACTCCTTGATCTTTTGCAAAGTAGAACCTACTCAACCTGAAGAAGTGATGAGACTATTGAACATGTATGAAAAAGGCTCAGGACAGTTGATCAATATGGAAAAGTACTCGGTTTTCTTTAGTAAGAATGTGGAACAGGAAGAGCAAAGTGAGATTTGCAATAGATTAAGAAACATAAAAGTGGCAAAACAAGGGAAATACTTGGGGTTGTCAATGGTCATCATAGGAACCAAAGACCAAATCTTTGGTTTTACCACAGGAAAATGCCAGAAGACAATCTCAAGCTGGAGCAACATAATGCTTAGCCAAGCAAGGAAAGAGGTTCTACTAAAGCAATCACCATGGCAATGCCAACTTATGCAATGTCATGTTTCAAGCTTCCAGTGAAACTATGCATAGAGATAAATGCATTGATGGCAAACTTCTGATAGGGAGAAGAAAGTGGAAAAAGGAAAATTCACTGGTGCTCATGGAAAAGGATGACAACTGACAAGAACACGGGTGGACTAGACTTCAAAGAACTCCAAGGATTCAATAAAGCTCTGCTGGGCAAATAGATTTAGAGGCTTCTTACATGCCCAAACCTTCTGATGAGTAAAGTGATGAGAGCTAAGTATTATCCCAATGAGTCACCATTGAGCTACAAAGTCAAAGGAAATTCATCGTGGATATGGCAAAGTCTGATAGGAGCAAGGGAGGAGGTGAAGAAGGGATCAAGAAAGAAAATTGGGAA